ACAGTCGAAGAAATCAGGATGGACATCAGACAAATCAACAGTGGGAAAGCAACATGACCTGACAATATAACAGCTCAATCACCGAAGTCAGACATACATGCAAATGCAAAAATCTTTCATGTTCTATTCAGAAAGATTTTGGAGAAGGAACAGTTGTCGACAGACTGGAAAGAAGAAACCAGAGAAAGGATATTTGAGCAAATGAGTAAACTACAATGGCATCACACCACTATCGGTATCAGTAGAATTTTTCAACAGAGTGTTACTTAACCGAAGGAACGTTTCAATAGACGAACTCCTTCGACGTTAGCAGACCAGATTCCGTCAGGATCCATCGTGCACAGATCAAATCACCACACCACAGAACATTTTTACAGTTGAACTCATTGGCCGATCTAAGCTAGACCAATATTGGAACCCTTGGAGCCGTTGACGGTCGTTCTGTCCTAGTACGGGAATCCTCAGTAATGCATATCCATGATCCCGCAATCGAATTTAAGATCTTCGGACTCGCGTGAGAACACTTAAGCTCTAGACCATTGAGCTGGTGTCAAACCGTGTTCACGTCTAATTTAAGTCATTTTATGATCCTGCCCAACTCTTTATTTATTGCCTGAGGTGGATAAGTGTCTCGCACTAGACACGGACCAGACTCTCCTGGTGACGGCTTTTCATTGAAACTCGAGGAGCTACGCTTTGAAGCTGATCACTAGTGAGCACATGATTACTATCAGTATGGATATTTGTGGAGATTGTAGTTATTTTCAGGTGAAATCGCGAATCGATCTGAGTCAAGTGCTTCCATGATTTCAATGGTGGACGACTCATGATTCAAACTGTAAAAATACTGCAATCTCCGCACTTATAACTACGGATCATTATTGAACGATAATTAAAGGGAACATGTCACTATTGAGTATTAGAAAGTATTTGACAGTGTGAATAGGAGAATATTATAGAACCTTCTTCGACACTATGGAGTGAGTAGCTGAGAAGATCGTCAACATCACATGGAATTCATTCAACGTATCACAATGCAAAGTGACACATGGAGGACAGTTGATAGATTCACTCCAAGTGAGGACCGGTTTCAGGCAAAATTGCCTACTCTCTATCTTCTCTTCACTTTCTTCTGGTGGTTGACTAATTTATGAAGACCTTGACATCTGAGGAGAAGCACGGAATACAATGAATAGCTTAGATGCGACTAGACGATTTGCATTTCACAGATCACCTAACCAACCTATTCCATACACACTGACAAATGCGAGTAAAGAAAACCAGTGTAGCATCATTCATTAGAGCAGTTGGCCTCAACATACACAAGGGTAAAGCAATGTCCTCAAAAACAACATGTAGAATACCAACCCAATCACACTTGATGAAGAAACATTGGGACGGGTGGAAACTTTCGCCTACCTATCTGGTCAGCATCGTCTATGAACAAAGAGGATCCGATGCAGACGTGAATGCAAGGATTGTCAAAGCGAGGGCAGCATTCCTATATTTGAAAAACATGTGGAGCTTAAAACAACTGTGAACGAACATCAAAGTCGGAAACTTCAAAACGAACGCCAACACAGTTCTACCATATGGAGCTGAAACTTGAACAACTATCACAACCATCATCAAAAATGTACAGGTATTTCCAAACAATATTCTACACATTGTGCTCAATGTCCATTAACAACCTACTGTTGGAGGGGACAAACTAGCTTCCATTTGAAGAGGAATTGGATAGAACATACATCGTGAAAATTACCAAACTGCATTACACGGAAAGCACCAACCTGGAATTTTGAAGGGGAACAGAAAATAGGTAGACCGAAGCAGACATGAAAAGTATTAATAGCAACTGGAAACAAGTGAAAAGAATTGTCCAGGACAGAGTTTTGTAGAGAATGTTGATAGACGGTCTATGTTATTCAACAGATGAGGGTAAGGCTAACAGACATAGGTGAGTAGGGTTCGTGTATTTATATATTATCTATAACTCTTGTCGTTTTAGTTTTTCCCGTCATTAGCGTCAATTGTTTCATTTTGTCTTACCTCGATATTACATTTTAAAACATATATGGTTGTAATTAGATGATGAGAAACCGAGGGCCACTGAGCCGTCATCCAAAGGTATAAACGTCCGAAATTAACCTATCCGTGATACTGCGCAACCATCTTCCCTTGTCTTGAGTGAGTAATTACCTCACATCCGACACGGTTTAACTTCACTGCTCAAGGCTTCACACTAGAACTCCAAGAATAACCTCTCGAGGCAAGTTCAATAGTCTATGGATGAACAACCGCCCAGTGCTTGCAAGTTTTCAATGGTGGTTTAGCATTGGTCGGTTCATGATCTCAACAAAACTCGATAATCTCCAAAACCTTTTACTGATATTCTTTAGTTGTAGGAAACCTATCTTTTCCTTATGCCCCCATATTTGCGTCAGTTCCTCCTTGTTTATCGATGATGATGCTCAGGTACGAAAAGGCTTTTATCTTTTCCAGAGCCTACCCATCCTGTATGACTGTTGGGAAGTTTAGATCCCCAGAACTCACTCGGGAAAGGACCTAATTTTGTAATTTTATTTAGAAAATTTGAGTTTCTCTGTTTTTGCGCCGAAGGCGCTCTTGTCATCTTTGTGTCGTATTTCCCACCAGGTAATATCTTGAATGATATTAGTCTGTTGCGTCTTTTAGTATGCTATTTAGTAACTCTTCCCAAGGACGGTTTTGTACTGTATATATATACTTTTTGAATTGTGTTTTTGTTATCGCTCGTTTCTGGCTGTCTTGCAGGATATGCTTCCCGTTCCAAGCTTGGACTTCTCCCTCCAGTTAGTGAAGCTAGGACGCATCGATAGCTAGCTTACTGGTCTTTGGTTCTCGTTCTCAGGATAAGTGAACTCGTAATAGCTTTAAACCTAGCAATGACTGTTAATCAAGATTGATTTTCAGTATTGTTAAACTTCCTAATTATTTTCCATACGAAGTAAACAGCGCCTAAATATGATCTATGATAGAAATTATTATTCTTACTCATTTAATACTTACTTACAACTCAATCTGCTCATAACTGCAAAAACAAATCCGCTTAACGCCAACATGCTCGTCACAATATTCTTTTAGTTCTTCTTCCTGACAAGACACACCAAAGACGTTCAGTCATGTGCTACAACCTGAAGATTTAATTTGTTCGAGATCTGAATCCAGTTATATCATATGGTTGATTGTTAGTGAATTCTTGCTGTCGAAATATACATGTCGCCAATCCTCGTATATAATCATCGACTTAAATCGTGTTAGACAACTCATTTTAAGCAAACGTGAATTGATATTCATAGCCAAACAGAAATAAACCACAGACATGTGATGAGTACGATAAGAAATGCACATATATACACTCACAGAAAGACATTCATGGTTGACAAGCAAATGATTAACAAGGTCAAAGATGTAACTTAAGAAGAATGAATAGATTAGCTTTTCCGGAGGCTATGTGGAATTGCATTGCATTACAAGATATACACTTAATACAAAATTACCCACCACTTCTTAAGCCTTCATCATTTCTGCATCAGTTTGAGTTACTTTGTTGCCATTCTAAAGCTTTGTATGCTCTATCACATTGTCATCAGGTGACGAATGAAAAAGATAACGCCTCGAATTTCACTTCTCTTTAGATGACATTTTTCTTGTTCACAGATCACAGACCACTGGTGGATTATCTCAAAAATGACTGTAAATCTTCTAGAAAATATTTACTTAATACCCCTCTAAAACCAAGGCGGGTATATTAATAAAGACGAGCATTGGATGGAGGAAGAAAGCACTTAAGGGTCTGAAATGTTTTCGGCTTACCGTCTCTCTCTTTACCTCTGTGACCAATAGAAAACGCATTACTGTAAGCGTTCAATGAAGAGGCTGGTTTAAACAAATACTTTAATTTTTAGAATTAAATAGCAATCCGTCATTCTGACTACCTTAGTCACGTTACGCACTGCATCCATTTTGAACAGTAAAGCTGAGAATTTAGTTTACTTGCTTTGTAATTGGTATGAGCTTCTCAAGTAGTTAGGTTTAGACAGCGTGTCTCTTTACTTACCATTTAATATCATTTTCATATGGAGTTCACAATCTATTTATTTCGAGCGTTTGACTCATACCTGTGTCAACAGATACTGACAATAGCTTCACCAATAGTATTTGACATTTCTCTTCTAGCTTTTAAAAAGTAGTCAATACGGATAAACAGTCTGTAGTGTTGTGTGCCATTATATCTAATGATATTGCGTCGTTTTCTGATTGGGGTACAATCATTGACGAGACCAGCATAACGATTGTTTTCCAGTGAACAAATACACAACAACGAAGAAGTTAATATTCACAACAAAATGAGAGTAAATACACTTGATACTGTTTTCGATTTTTTGTGCTATTAAGCGTTAATTGACCATCTTAGCAGGTAAAAAGCTTGAATTAATTGGCAGTAAGGAAATGTTTGTCATGTAACGTAAACACTCAGTCCTATTTGTTTGATAAAACCAATCACGGAATGTTCAATTATGAAGAAACAAAATTGTTGTTAAACCATCATTTACACAATAAGATTTATAAGTCTAATGGTGTAGATTTTTTATTCAACTTAAAACAATTAAAATAATAACTATTAGAAAATATCAGGAACAACAGAGTGGAATAACTATTAATGATTTGATGTATAGACGCGAGTATAACAGTTAATTCAGATACATGCAAGTGTATATCAAATAACAACTACTACTAAGGTCAATTAGATTACAGATAGGCACAATAGTCAATAGACAAACAGTGCTATTAGAAAATTAAACTATATAGATGAGTAGATTGTGTTTTGGCATCATAAAAATACTGTCTTTAATAATAAGACAACAGAAAATCCAATTCACTCACTGTACAACACTCATTTTAATGTGGTAAATATTATCGATTCAGACGATGATTAAAATTAATATATTCATATACTCTTAGTGCTGATTATATTCTGTTTGCCCGTATGTTTCAATACTGGACATTTTTTGTTTTTTACCTTTAATTAGTGACAATAAATATCTTCTCAGTGTACTTGTGCTGAAGATAAGAATACATGGATTAGAAGAACATCCAAATAATATAAGTATTGTACCCATTTGTTCAATCGGAGTACCGTAAGTGTAAACCACAACTTCACATATGATTAATATTTGACTTATACATTCAAACGAGTGTAATATAGCTTGTTGACATGACATTATTGCTGTTGTAATCACTAACTGAATCACTGTACGCTTAATTTGCAAACTAGACTCCACATTTTGTAATGAATCACTATGACGAGATGATTGAGATTTCCTAATAATATGTATGACCCATGCATGACTGATCAACATAACTAAAACTGGAACAAAGTACTCGAACACAACCCAGGAGTATACAATGTAATCAAGAAATGTTGTCGTTTGAATCCAGGGGAATGAAAAATCCATAACACATCGGCTATCAGTGTAACGACGAAGAAGTGGTGTTGGTATGTACAAAATTAAAAACATACTGAGCATGTAAAGAAAGTATAGTACGAAAAATCTATTCGTATACTTTTTGAATGATCCAAGAAATAGGACAGAACTCACTCGATCCAATGATATACAAACTAGATTTTGCACACTCATGATACAAAATAACCAGAAGGATGCATTTCGAAACCATAAGTGACATATCAGGATATCGATAATGTATAAGCCAGTATGTTTGTTATAGATATTGGTGGATTGAATTATATAATAAACAGCTGCTGAGAAGCATGCGCCGAAGTCAAGTAAAGATTGAGTTCTTAGTAAGAATGAAGTGAATTTAGAACCTATGGTCACTCTAAAAATAACAACTATCGCAACCATGTTGAACAGCGCACCAATTATTCCTTCAATTATAACAATAATCCGGATAGGTAAAGTAACGTAAACAGTTTCATTCATCGTTCAGTTCTCTTCTTTTGGTTTACTGTGAAATGAAATTCAAAATAGGATTTCTGACAATTACATATATATATATATATATATATATATATATATATATATATATATATATTCAGCCAATCAAATCTTGGTCGAAATGGTTCATTGAATATTTTTAGGGAAGAAAATGTTTATATCCAAAATCATTTGGAAAATAAGTATGAATATTAATTGGTTTTGTCTTCATTGTAGTTTAGTAGTAAGTAACAAACACCTCAATAATTATATGCAAGTCTAAGCATTAATTTCCGTGAAACATGGAGTGTTTTAAGACATGAGACTATGACGTAGTTAATCTACTGATCTAAATGAAAATTTATCTTCATATCAATAGCATACATCTAAGTTTTTATTCTTAATGATTCCCTTTAAAGGATGGATTCAGCGTCCTTATGGTAATGAGCGGAAATATGTATATTATGAGTCGAATAATCATTAGTATCTTTAGTTTTATGTATAATAACCTTAGTAACAATACTAAGCTGTTGAGCTGCATTTTCCTTTACAACTTGTGTATCCTTTCTTGAAGTTGATTTATAATAACATAAGTGTACAGACCTGGTGTTATTTTGCTGTATTACTAAACTCGTTTATAGTATTCAGCTTCTCAGCCATAGAGTAAAACAGAGTGAATATCTGAGTAGTAAACTTGGAGACCGTATTTCTGAACAGACTGTATTTGTAAACTTAATTTTAGAAAATGAGTTTAGATAAGTCACTAAAGTCAATTTGATATCAGACTAAGTTCGATTCCGAATATCTTTTTTTTTAATTTTACAAAAATTCCTTTGGTTCTCTTAAATAATTTCTAAGTAGCTTGCTTCCGACTGTTTCGATGAAAGTTTCTCATTGTTCTTGAGTGTTATGTAATATCCAACAAATAGTTTTGTTAGTTTGATTTCGTCCTCTGGTTTATGCGCTAGGCTGCTTTGATGAGTGGGTCACTCTGACAAACTCCCTTAGTTTTGTAATTAACTAAGAATAAATTCCTATCTTATTTTGCTCATTTTTGATAAACTTAAGAATGAATGTCATTAAATTATTTCACTCCATAAGAAATATTGTTTTCTTAGAAAGATTAATAGAATATTCCTGTCTCTTAACTAGTCTGTGGTAGCGTAACTTATTCAGATAATTCCATTTTAACATCAGTTTAATGACCTCTTTAAATTTCAGCATAAAATTTAACATAGTGTATTTTAAACTTCAAGTATTTCCATTATATGTCTACCTAAATCTCTGGTATTTCAAGCTCTCTATAAATGATTCTGTCATTCTCCACAACGCGTCTAGCGTTCCATATCTTTCCAGTGGGTTCTGCTTGAAATAAAAAATGGGAATATACCAATTGTCAGAAGGGATTTTGTGGAGATTTTAGAAACTTTACTGGTTGAAATCACTAGTCAATTGAAGCTAGATCACCATGGGAAAATTGGAAGCACTGGACGGCTGTTTCGTCGTAGTATGAGAAGCCGGTAGTAAGAAGCCGTTACCAGTGGAGTTCAACCAGGTCTGTTGTGAGATATCAACTCACTGAAGACAATGATGTAGAGCAGCGCAACTTCGTGGATTGGTTGAAGTCAGACATTAACGCTGTTGGACGCCGGCTCAGTGGTCTAATGGTTAAACGCTCGCGCGCGAGACTGATAGTCCTGGGCTCGAATCCCACGGGGAACGGGACCGTGGTTGCGCACTGCTGAGGAGTCCCGTACTGGGGAGGAATGGCCGTCCACTGCTTCCAGGTTCTCATGGTAGTCTAGCTTCAAGTGACTCATGATTTCAACCAGTGAAGTATAGCAATTATTGAAATGACGGGATTAAAAAAACAAAATTTCATTAGTTTACTTATTGTGAACTTTTATTTAACATTACTTCCGTTTTAATTCAATGTAATGATAAGTATTTGTTTTGTTTTTCAGTATGGTATTCTATTCGGTATAACATTCATCTATTTGAGTGTAATTTTTATTTAAGTCAAGATACGATATTCTTGTATTACATTGACGTGACATGCAACATTTGATTTGTTATAATTCTGGGTAATTTTCATATATGTGATTGCATCTTAACTAATAATCAAAATGAGTGTACAAATCAATAAATATATCACGTGTATTTTTGACTAGGATCGTCGTGTTTTGGGTTTAATAAATCTTCACTTGTACCAATCTTGGCGCTCTTATTTCGAGTCGTGGAAATTACAATGGTCCCTCGTTCTGCGAGTATAAATAATAAGCGATTCCAATATAACAGTTAGTGACGACCGAAATTGCAATTAAAACAGAATCTCTAATCATTTAATATCAACAAAGAAGTTTCAATTACATTCGTTTTAAGAGATGGGATGGTTACAAATATGGATGGAAATTCAGTTTGCCTCATCTATTTGTTTATTCACTTATCTAAAACAGCTTAGTTCAATAAATAATCAATAATCTCAATGCCGATTCCTATTTTATAATAGGGCAAGAAACAATACATAAAAAATATGGATTATGAAAACAGAAACTTATCAACTATCAATTCTTAACAATTGACTGACTAGATTATCAAAATCATAGCTCCATAATTTAAATGAAATCTACTATGTAACTTATATACAAGGATAACTACTTAACAATATTAAGTAACATGAGAATAATTTCAAAAATGAAGTATCAGTAAATCGCGTTATCTAAGCAAAATAATCAATACTTTTTCAAGTGTCTTTGTTTGTTTTTTTTCAAAAAAAAAAGAAAACTAAATAGCTAAATCTCATCACTACTACACGCCCTAATCTATCCATTTTTTAAAATAACTTATTACGCTGCAATCAAATAGAATATTAATAGCGAAGAACAGAAACGTGTTTATCTACAGGACAAAATCAGCCGTCATAGTAAGGAGGATAAAACTTGAAAATTACAATAATTGGATCATTAAAAATTGTATAATAAATATGAAATAATTGATTTACCAAGTATAAATGTATTTGTTTGAAAAGTACTGTATATGTTTTGGCTATTCAAACTGATATGACTGCAGTGAACTTGGATTTGAGATTTCTTGTATGAATGATGAATAATTCTTTTTATAGTTGGACATTAAATCACTGACATATTTATGATCATTTTCCTGATTATATATGAAAGTCTACCTGTATATATTCTTGATTGAAGGTATTTTCAAAATCAATACATAAATTCACATGAAAGAAAAAAGAATGGAATAAAATAAAGATTCGTTCATCACATTGAAATAACAAAGATATAAATATAATAAAACACTTGAAATGATATATAGATATACATATATAATCAGTATTTAAGGTTTCCAGTCATAAATTTCGTTTTTTTTATTTTTGCTTTTTGTCAACATACAACATCAATCATTGAGTGACAATCATTCTTGTTGCTATCTTATATAATAAATATTCAGTTCATTGATTAAAAAAAAGATGTTTTCACATGGGTTGTTAATGTTCTGAATCAATTCTGACAAATAAATTTGGTAGTCATTACAATGTATATATATCAGGTTTTATTCATGGATTAATTGAGATATGAATGTATCTATGTAACTTGGTTAGGGATTGGTACAAACTCATAGTCAGAAATCTCAAAATTTCAGTATACATCAGTATTGAGTTAAATTAATGAATAGGTATTAATAGAATAAAAATATTTTTGAAGAATAAACTAACATATGCTTTTATCGTTGTTAATAATGATAGTTATTGTACAGATCAGTATCATTTATTGTACCAAATATTTGTCCTGTTGCTATTATAATCTATAACATTAATTGTGACCGATCATAAACATACTGATAAATCGATAATTAGTGAATTGATCAACTTGAAGATCTTTCCTTTTTTCCAGTAATACTCATCTTTTCTGTGAAAACTTTTATTGATATCGATAAACGTCTTCTTAAGGTAGCTGTAGTAAGTATAAGTACACATGGATTTAAAACACAACCTAATAATATAAATATAGGGCCTAAATGTCCAGTTATTGATTGATAGTTATAAGCCATAATTTTATTTGCAATTAATATTTGACGTATAGACTCATATGAATGTAGTAATGCGAGTTGACCTGATAAAATTGCTGTCGTTATAACTAACTGACTTATTTTACGCCTAATATGTGAAGTTGATTCATTTTTATGAGATGTACGAGTATGGCGAGATGAATGAAATTTTCTAATAATATGTATTACCCATATATGACTGATTAACATCACTAGAACTGGTATAAAATAAGCGAACATAATCCATGAATATACCATAATATCAAGAAATAAACTTGTTTCAACCCAAGTGAATGAAAAATCCATTTCACAATGAGTGATCATATAACGACGAAGTATCGGTGCCGGCATATATAGAAATAATGACATTAAAATCATATAAGCGAAATATGTAAGCGTAAATTGACATGAATGTGTTTTATATAATCTAGGGAATATAACAGAGCTCACTCGATCCACTGATATGCAAACTAAATTTTGTACACTAAATGTACATGATAACCAAAAGTAAGCATTTCTAAACCATGTATGACATATTACTAAATCAATTATGTATAATCCTGTCAGTTCATTATAACGGTCAGTACATTGAATTATATAATAGATAGCTGTAAAAAAACATGCACAAAAATCAAATATTGGTTGAGCTCTCAACATACATGTAGTTAATTTAGAGCCAAACTGAGTTTTGAAAACAATAATTATCGCTGCACTATTGAATATTGTACCAAGTAGACCTTCTATGATAACAGTAATACGTATAGGTAAATTAACGATCACATTCGGAGACATAGTCTTGTTTCTTTTTACAAATAACAATTTGTGTTTCTTTTATTAAAATAAGAAATAAGCATTTCTTTTTATATTGTAAATTAAGAACATTTTCATTGAATGTACTTGTCAAGTTGTTGTAATGTGTAGAAGGAGAAAAACAAACAATTTTTAATGTTAATAATGTTTAATTCTTTTTTTTTAAATGAAAAGCATCTATGTTAT